ACTACTATTACTACTATTACTACTATTACTACTATTACTACTATTACTACCATTACTACTATTACTATTATTATTACTATCACTACTATTACTATATTATTACTACTGAGACGGGACCATAGCCGAGCCTCCAAAAACCGACCGCGCGCGTACACACAATGCGCTTTTCCGTAAATGGGTCGCTAGACTCTCAGCATTACCAGTCTGTCGACTGTACTTGCACAGGATCGCTACCTCGACAGTCAAACTTGACGTCGAAGCGTGACTCTGCGGCGAATGCACTGCGCAGATGCCAGAACAATTTGGAGCAGGCCAGGCAGCACCGCGAGAGCTGCAACTACAAGCTGGCCGATGCTCAGAGACGGAAAAATGGCGCCGAAGCGCCTATCACGGAGGCCGAGAGAAGCGCGGAAACCTCGGCGGGACATCGTGAACAAGCTCTTCGAACATGTTTGCTTGAGGGTCTTTCAGGGAGTTCAGGGAATAAGCCCCTAAGCCCCTAACCCCGCCCGATTTTCATTTTTTACCAAAACCATTGAACCTATTCGGGCATTAAACAGCCTGTCCCCCTCGCTCCCTCCCCTCCCCCCCCGGCTTTTGTCGGGTTTCCCTCGCTTCCGGCCGCCTTGGAAGCCGGAAATTCCCTCAAAATCCCAAGGGGACTTGGAAATGGTCTCCGGGAAAGGAGCGGGAACTGCAAAATCGACGATTTTGGTGCTTTTGTGGGGTTTTCTTCATTTCGGGTTCAAGGGGCCTTGGAAATGGCTTCCGGAGAAGGAGCGGGGACTGCAAAATCGACGATTTTGGTGTTTTCGTGGGGTTTTATCTATTTCGGTACTTGGAAGCGGGAAATTTTCTCAAAATACCAAGGGGCTTTGGAGGACTGCAAAATCGAGGATTTTGGCGCTTTTGTGGGGTTTCCCCCACTTCGGGCCCAAGGGGCCTTGGAAATAGCCTCCGGAGAAGGAGCGGGGACTGCAAAATCAACGATTTTGATGCTTTTGTGTGGTTTTTTCTTTTTCGGGCCTTGGAAGTCGAAAATTTTCTCAAAATCTCAAGGGACCTTGGAAATGGCCTCCGGAAGAGGAGTCGGGACTGCAAAATCGATGATTTTGGTGGTTTTGTGGGCTTTCCCCATTTCGGGCCTTGGCAGCCGGAAATTCTCTCAAACTCCCAAGCGGTCCTGGAAATGGGCTCCGGAAAAGGAGCGGGGACTGCAAAATCGACGATTTTGGTGTTTGTGTGACGTTTTCCTCATTTCGGGCCTTGGAAGTCGGAAATTCGCCCAAAATTCCAAGGGGCCTTGGAAATGGCCTCCGGAAAAGGAGTGGGTACTGCAAAATCGACGATTTTGGTGCTTTTGTGGAGTTTCACCCTTTTCGGCGGCCTTGGAAGCCGGAAATCCCTGAAAATCCGAAGGGCCTTGGAAATGCCCCCCGGAAAAGGAGCACATATTGCAAAATCGACGATTTTGGCGCTTTTGGCGGTGTTTCCCCCATTTCGGCAGCCTTGGAAGCAGGAAATCCTTGAAAATCCGAGGGGCCTTGGAAATAGCTTCCGGAAAAGGAGCGGGCACTGCAAAATCTACGATTTTGGTGCTTTTGTGGGGTTCCCCCCATTTCGGCGGCCTTGCAAGCCGGAAATCCCTGAAAATCCGAGGGGCCTTGGAAATGGCCTCGGGAAAAGGAGCGGGTACTGCAAAATCGACTATTTTGATGCTTTTGTGGGGTTTCTCCCATTTCGGGCATTGGAAGCCGGAAATCTCAGAAAATTCGAGGCGCCTTGGAAATGGCTTCCGGAAAAGGAGCACGTATTGCAAAATCGACGATTTTGGTTGCTTTTGTGGGGCTTTCCCCATTTCGGCAGCCTTGGAAGCCGGAAATCCTTGAAAATCCGAGGGGCCTTGGAAATAGCTTCCGGAAAAGGAGCACGTACTGCAAAATCGACGATTTTTGTATTTTTGTGGTGTTCCCCCATTTCGGCCCCCTTAAAAGCCGGAAATCCGTGAAAATCCGAGGGGCCTTGGAACTGGCTTCCGGAAAAGGAGTGAGTACTGCAAAATCCACGATTTTGGTGCTTTTGTGGTGTTTCTTCCATTTCGGGCTTTGAAAGCCGGAAATCACTGAAAATTCGAGGGGCCTTGGAAATGGCTTCCGGAAAAGGAGCACGTATTGCAAAATCGGCGATTTTGGTGTTTTTGTGGTGTTTCCCCCATTTCGGCAGCCTTGGAAGCCGTAAATCCTTGAAAATCCGAGGGGCCTTGGAAATGGCCTCCGGAAAAGGAGCGGGTACTGCAAAATCGACGATTTTGGTGCTTTTTGTGGAGTTTCACCCTTTTCGGCGGCCTTGGAAGCCGGAAATCCCTGAAAATCAGAAGGGCCTTGGAAATGGCCACCGGAAAAGGAGCACATATTGCAAAATTGACGATTTTGGTGGTTTTGTAGTGTCCCATTTCGGCAGCCTTGGAAGCAGGAAATCCTTGAAAATCCGAGGGGCCTTGGAAATAGCTTCCGGAAAAGGAGCACGTACTGCAAAATCGACGATTTTGGTGCTTTTGTGGGGTTCCCCCCATTTCGGCAGCCTTGGGAAATCCGTGAAAATCCGAGGGGCCTTGGAAATGGCCTCGGGAAAAGGAGCGGGTACTGCAAAATCGACGATTTTGGTGCTTTTGTGGGGTTTCTTCCATTTCGGGCTTTGGAAGCCGGAAATCTCTGAAAATTCGAGGCGCCTTGGAAATGGCTTCCGGAAAAGGAGCACGTATTGCAAAATCGACGATTTTGGTGCTTTTGTGGGGCTTCCGCCATTTCGACAGCCTTGGAAGCCGGAAATCCTTGAAAATCCAAGGCGCCTGGGAAATGGCCCTGGAAAAGGAGCGGGTACTGCAAAATCGACGATTTTGGTGCTTTTGTGGGGTTTCCCTATTTCCGCGGCCTTGCAAGCCGGAAATCCGTGAAAATCTGAGGGGCTTTGGAACTGGCCTCCGGAAAAGGAGTGAGTACTGCAAAACCCACGATTTTGGTGCTTTTGTGGTGTTTCTGCCATTTCGGGCTTTGGAAGCCGGAAATCCCTGAAAATTCGAGGGGCCTTGGAAATGGCTTCCGGAAAAGGAGTACGTATTGCAAAATCGACGATTTTGGTGCTTTTGTGGTGTTTCCACCATTTCGACAGCCTTGGAAGCCGTAAATCCTTAAAAATCCGAGGGGCCTTGGAAATGGCCTCCGGAAAAGGAGCGGGCACTGCAAAATCGACGATTTTGGTGCTTTTGTGGAGTTGCCCCTTTTTGGCGGCCTTGGAAGCCGGAAATCCCTGAAAATCCGAAGGGCCTTGGAAATGGCCACCGGAAAAGGAGCACATATTGCAAAATCGACGATTTTGGTGCTTTTGTGGTGTTTCCCCCATTTCGGCAGCCTTGGAAGCAGGAAATCCTTGAAAATCCGAGGGGCCTTGGAAATAGCTTCCGGAAAAGGAGCACGTACTGCAAAATCGACGATTTTGGTGCTTTTGTGGGGTTCCCCCCATTTCGGCAGCCTTGGGAAATCCGTGAAAATCCGAGGGGCCTTGGAAATGGACTCCGGAAAAGGAGAGAGTACTGCAAAATCGACGATTTTCGTGCTTTCGTGGGGTTTCCCCCATTTCGGGCCTTGGAAACCGGAAATCACTGAAAATCCGAGCCGCCTTGGAAATGGCCTTCCGGAAAAGGAGCACGTACTGCAAAATCGACGATTTTGGTGCTTTTGTGTGGTTTTCCACATTTGGGGCCTTGGAAGCCGGAAATTCACTAAAAATCACAAGGGGCCTTGGAAATGGTCTCCGGAACGACGATTTTGGCGCTTTTGTGGGGTTTCCTTTATTTCGGGCCTTGGAAGCCGGAAAGTTCTTAAAAATCCCAAGGGGGCTTGGACATGGCCTCCGGAAGAGGAGCGGGGACTGCAAAATCGACGATTTTGGTGCTTTTGTGGAGTTTCCGTCCCTTTCGGCGGCCTTGGCAGCTGGAAATACCTTGAAAATCCCCGGAGAGTTTGGAAGTGGCCTCCGGAAAGGGAGCAGCCAGGAACCAAGGGAAAAAGGGAGCCAGGCAGCCAGGCAGCCAGGGAGGCAGGGCCAGGGGTCCAGAGAGCTAGAGAGCCATGCTGCCAGGAAGGCAGAAAAACGAGGGGGCAGAGAGCCAGGGACCCGGAGGCCTTGTGAAAAGGCCCAAAAGAGGGTGTTCCCAAGGTCGGAAAGAGTCCAGCAAAGAGTGTGACGCACGGGCGTGGCAGAAGCAGTCCAAAAGAGACAGGGAAGAGGCCAGCAAGAGGCCCGGAAGAGCTCGCGACGAGGCCGGAAAGAGGCCCCAAAAAGGCAGACAGGGAGTGTGACAGCGCGTGCGTGTAAGAGCTCGTAGCACTATTACTACTATTACTAGTCATACTACTATTACTACTATTACTATTATTACTATTACTATTATTACTACTATTACTACTATTACTATTATTACTACTATTACTACTATTACTACTATTACTACTATTACTACTATTACTACTATTACTACTATTACTACCCAGCACCCCCCAACGTACCTCTAATGAGGTTTTGATGCAAAGCACCACTAATAGAAGGCACTTGTCTGGAAATTCTGAAAGAGGGGACTTACGCTTGATATATGGGGTGGTTTTTACGCTCTTTTAGATTAGCTACTTGTACTACTTTTAAGCTTCCTTGGACTACCTGCTGTTCTACCTGCAGACGATCGAAGACCCTGGCCTTTTTCAGGTCACGCCTGCTCGTTTTCCATGGCTCGTAGCCAACGCACACAAACATAGGCTGCGTATCTATGTAGCACCTGACGGCCTAAACATACCGGGTGAGACATCTTCGCGAGTCTTTTGACTTTACCAACCTAAGTTGTACACTGCAGCACAATAGCAGGGAGGTATTCCCAGCACAAGTCGCATACATGCCATGCAGATGAGAAGCGGCATCTTCATCCAGATATGTTGAGACCACCATGGGGTTTACACGTACAGAGCTGTCGTAGCAGATATGGTCTGCCCTTGGATTGCAGGGTTCGAGCCACAAAGGTACTGGAGCTGAAGTATTTGTTCCGAGGGGCTTGTGCAGTTTCGGTCGTATTTTCCATAACATCCGTCCAGCCTGTATAGCTTCATCAGCAAGGCCTCAAGCCAGAGATAATATGACGTAATAACATAGTTTACAATAACTCCAGGGCCCAGGCCATTCAGTGCACAGTGGAACAAGTAGTTGGCCTCCTGCAGCTTCTGGATGTTGGCATCGGAGAGGGTGGAGAACTGATTGCCATAGTTAAGAGAAATAGCTTCCCTCATGCGCACGAGGTTGATGAATACTGCCGCTCGCAGCCTAAGTTGCATACTGACGACAAAATAAATACATGATGTGTCTCCTATATTACATGGGAAAACAATTTTGGGTCTGTGGCTCTGCATGGACATCGCCTGGCCTTTTGGCGGCTTCACCAACGGTGAGCCCCATAAGCCACCGAACCATGATCACACTCTCCTTGCCAGGGTGTCGGTCATTGGAGGTTATAGGTGGGGCTGTGCTTTCCAAGTTTCTGCTCCAGACAAGTGCTTCTGCGCAATCGTGGGGAACTGCATTTTTTTCTTGTCGCCACCACTCAGCTGTTTCCTCGGGACGGCGAACGCATATTGTTGAGTTTCGCCAAAATTAATTGTGCCAAGTCTCGTGCTGAAAACCCTACCACGATTTCCTTAAACAACACAGAAAGAGAGGCGAGCGCCAGCGAGAGAGAGACAGAGAAACAGCACAGAGCATGCTGCTTGCAAGTCAAGAGTCGCACCTTGTGTTGCTTACACAAGGCACAGAACTGCACATACGCATTTCGGAGCCTTTCGTCTTGATCACTGCCGACAAACAAGCCTACACCGGCAGCAGTGAGCTCGAGCAGCGCCGAGGCCAGGCAGTCTGGAATAACCGCTAGATCCAGCACATGAAGCCAGTCATACATCAAAACATCGATGTGCCAACCGGGCATGCACACCCAAGCATTCTCACGACAACCGTGTTGTATGAACTCAGCAGTGGTCATGCACCTGAGCTCGCACAAACTCCACATGTATGTTTGCTGCTGCATATAACTGCCAGGTCACGTTTGCCGATGTGCAGCAGCCGGTCCATGGTACGTGTAAAGATTTCCGGAAGTTGGATCTTTCGACGCCTGTGGGCATTCTGCACAGTATTGTCCGTAAGCGCCCACCCGTCCCCATCCCGCCTGGCACACAAAGCAAACATTCTTGCTCGTCGCTGAGTTGACCGTTGCATAGGCCTGAATAGGTTGCACACAGTACAATCGATCGATTTCAGAGCCCCAAGCATGTTTCATGGCCTTCTGGATGTACTTTTCATCTCCTTTGTGCACAGCCAGTACACCCCGCCATCCTTCGGCGATTGGCCCCTGTCGCCCTCCTGAACACACACACACACGCACAAACAAACGCACGCTCACTCTCTCTGTCTACCTGTCTGTCTGTCTGTCTTAAGACCAGCTGAAGACAAGCTGCGATTGAAGGGGTTGCCCCAGGGATCCACATCGAGCCAATGCCCTAGCATTAACTCTAGGAGAGACCATGCCACCCAAGCATCCAGGACCTTGTAGGCTTCATCTCCAAGCTGATTGTTGTCTCCCACGTAGGCAACGAACTTCGAATCCCACGGCGTAGCATGCACTAAAGCACTACCCCAAGTCATAACCATAAACGATCGCCGACGGTGGCACTCGGCATCGTCACCATGAATAACAAGAGGTATTGTGCGGTCGAGGTTCATGTCCTGGCAGCTGTTAGCAAAAAGCCCAGAAGCAGACTCTATAGCCAACTATATACGAGACCCTGATCGTATTGCATGCAGTCTCGGTGCTGCCAGGTAAGGATGCTCTCGGAACCAGTCGGAATTCTTGTTGCGGCCCCAGAAATCTTCTAGTGCCTGTGTTTGCGAAACATATGATCGAGATCCGAACATACAATGTGCGTACTCGAGATTGACCAAGCGACACCGTCTTCACCAAGAAGTAGCTTGCGAAACAGCTCTTTGTTGTAGGAGTAGAAGCAAGCAAACCTTCACATTGAATGTCTTTATATCGATATCATCTAAACCATGACTAGATCTATATATATATATATAGAAAATATATATGTATCACCCTAACCTCTTCATTAACTGCCTGCAGACCGGGGATCGCTTCACTCGGCAAGAACATGTGCCACTGACCCAAATAATGCTGGACTTCTCTCTTCGGGTCGACCTAGGCTTCCAGTCTCACCCACTTTCCCACCCCCGACACCCTAGCACCTGTGAAGCTGCAAACATTGAGCATGCCACCAGCACCACTTGAACCCTCAGATTTCGGGACGAAGCACACGGCAAAAGAAAGCACTACGATGAAGACAAGCAGCTCCCATGGCTCAGGCAGCATTTGCCGCCATGATTGTTTCGACAACCATCTCCAGAAGGTGCGCGCCACATGCTTGGATTGCGAGGATTCTATCCGATCGCCCAGGTCACATAGGTTTTTCCTTAGCAACGTAAGCATGAGTGAGCAGTCGATGTGACATCCATATTGCATGGACCACACAGCTCTCCATTAATTGCTGGATGGCACGGGAGCAGTGAAGGAGGGAACCGTCGATGGATGACTTGAAGCATAGCCACAATGGTAGTAACACTGACCTTATATTTTTACATGGCCACACCTAACACACCTATGTGCATGATGAATCGAGCAGTACAGAATATGCATGCAAGTCACATCTTTTCCCAATTCGAGGAACTCTTCCACCACATCCATGTCATCAAGCAGTCACATTGTGAGTATCTTCCCTATCAACTTAAGGCCCCGGTGATAGCCAGGAGTTGGTAGGGTCTATGTCGTTTCGGATTTAGATCTACGATCGGCTCGGGGTTTCGAGACTATAGTGTCGGGGTTTGGTTTTGGGTAAGCCTAGAATGTGTGACAAGTTTTCCGGGAGAGTTTGTGGGGATTATAATATGTGGTATAGGGCTTATAACATCACAGTTTTAGCGTTCTTTGATCGGAATGATCATTGAGACAGCCATACACCTGCACACTGCAAGGAGCATTGACAGGGCAGCCAGGCCACATGTGGATCTATGTACCAGGCTTTGTCGACAGAAGTGCATCATCTAAGCGAACTTAAGTAGCCATGCATTTTCTGCGGGGCAACACGTTTTAGGTTGTTTTGGCCTCGCAGGGTGGCAATGTTAGCACTGCCGTATTTCCCGAAACTTAATGCAAAGCCGGCACATGCATGGTCACTGTTTCATCACCCTGCCTTGCAAGCACAGCCCTTCGTCCTAAACCTTCCTAGGTATATATGATCCTATAGAGTGACCCCTGGCATGGTGTGGATGATCATGGACCATAAGGCCGCCTTGCTAAATCCCTTCCGAACGCTTGTAGGCTCGGTAGCTAAAAGCCACACTATTGGAACAGCATCATTGGCCGCTAGGGGGGTCTTGATCAATAGGTCAGCAGTATATATGTAGAGATCAGCAGTTGTATTCCCAGAGACATCCCCGGCAGCCCACTAAGATGCCCACAAACAGCTGGCTAGAATCGTACACGACCGAAGATGAAGCAGGATTGGCTTCGTCAATCCTCTACTACGTCGCTCTGCTCCTCGTCGCTGTGATCGGCCTCTTCCTGAGCCTTCGCCTCGGTCTCGGCCTTCTTCTCTTTGGCTTTCACCGAGTTGATGCGCCGCTGTGCATCCTTCACATCGTGATCCGCATCATGGAGAACCTCAGATGTAGTATCACTAATCCAATCTGTCAGTGCTTCAGCATCCACGATCTTCTCCTGCTGTTTGTCCTGGCACATCTTCAGAACGGATTCCACCCGGGGTTCGAGGTTTTCCAATGATCTGACCTCAAGCCATAGGTGGGGCGGTGATCGAAGCTCATCAGTACAGAAGTATACAGCTACTCTGCTAAGGCCAAAGCCAGCTCGCTGCTGTTGCGGACCTTCAGCCCCTTCATCTCCAGGAGTTTTTGCGGAATGAGCTTCAGCAGGTTTGTCAGCCTGGAAGTTCAGAGGGCTTGCGGTTGCTAGGGGCTCCGGGATATGGGACTTCGAAAGGTTAAGGGTATACATATGGTTATAAATACTGATATTGCACGATTATAAGATTAGGGAATATCATCAATAAGTTTTCGGGGTGTGCATTGGCGAGTAGAACCACAACTAGCGACCCTGGGATTCCGAAACACCCTGCGATCGGCCACCTTCCATGCAGTCGGGGCGCTTTGTGCAAACAGTCTTCAGATCCTTCTCGGCTTGCTTCTCCGGGGTCAGGGGCTTCTTGGCTTTCCTTAGGATGGTTTGACTGAGCAATTCATTGGGTCAACATAAATGACTACGGTCAGCTTAAGTGTCTTGCTGGGTCAACATAAATGTCTATGGTCAGCCAAGTGTCTTGCCACTGATGCGTCCGGTTTTGCGGTCGAGAAAGCCCACACTTTCGAGGTTGTTGGAAAACTCGCCGAGTTGTTTGGCGAGGATTTTTTTCGCCGAAGCTTCGTTAACTCGACCACCAAGTCTCAACTTAGTTGCGGCTAGTATACGATTGGATTGCTCCCAGCCACAGGACCACAACATCGTGCCGAGCATTACCAGGGAGACATTTCCAGGACTGGGCAGTGTAATTAGCTGCAGACAAGCATCACTGGACTCACCCTTGGAAACAGTCGTGTTCTCTTCCACCACCTCCCGCAAAACCTTGTACATCTTAGCCTTCGCACTGTCTGGCACCTCACGCATGCAGTCCAGCTGACTCAGGCTTTTGAGTTCATCTGATACAGAAGAGCACACATAGCGCACCTGCGGGTGCGGCGTCCCCACCTGTCCTTAGGCCCAGCGAAGCTTAAGTCTCTACACAGCTAGAAACGAGACATTAAGGTGTGGTCATAGTGCAGCCCAGCTTCCCTTTATGAGGGACTCAATAAAGGCCTTCGCCTCGGCACTTTTTCCATAGATTTTCTCCAATTGGAAGATTGTGACCTGCAGCAGCTGGCACACTCAAAGGACATGCTCAGAAGCCATGCACAATTGATTGTTCAAGATTGTACAGGCACTCAGCGGCGTACGGTCACGTAGCGGTCAGTGCGCAGCTCGCTGACCCATTTGGTGTATTTTTCCTCCACTTCAATGGCGCCCACCCCTTGATTCACCAAGAATGATTTGAGCATCCCAAATCTGCAGGGGCAGGTTGAAGATCTAACTGACTGTGACATGTGTGCACTGCGTATAGTGTCTTAAGTGAACACACACCTCGAGTCGTCATCACATAAGGAGAACTTGGCGGAGAGGGCAGGGTTGGCATTCTTCAGGATGGCACGTCTCAGGGCAGAATACTGCCGCTTCCTCTCATCCCGAGGTATCTCCTGAGAAACAGGGTCATCGCTATCGCTGTATTACAGGCCGGAATTGTAATTATGATTGTTGACGCACATGCATGCTGGCCTGCGGGGACGTCATTTTGCAAATGGCCTCCTTCTCCCCTTCAGAGAGAGCAGTGATCCGTCTGACTTTCCCACCAGCTGCCTTGAGGGACTTAAGTTATAGAGGCAGGTGCTGGGCTTCTAGCGAACATGATCAGATCTTGCTGAGGGGCCTCGGGGCTGCCATCAGAAGTTGTGCCCGGAGTCCCAAATGACACGCTCGGCATGGTGTTGAGACGATGCTGCTTTGCAGGAGGCGGAGTCTCGGCGTCGTCGGCGTCGCTGGCAAAGGTCAGGCACCTGGCTCGCAAAGCCGACGGAGGGCTAGAGCTTTCCGTACCAGCTGTAGTCGTCGAAGCCGGTGGGCTGTCGGATTGCTCCTGGGGTCACAGGGACAGAGTGATGGAGAGCAGGGAAAATGGTTAAATATACGATTTAAAACATATATATATATATATATATATATAGATATAAACAGCTAGATTCAGCTAGATTATATATATATAGACAGTATATAGGGACAGGTATAGACAGAGAGAGAGAGAGAGAGGGAGACACAGAGACAAAGAGAGAGAGAGAGAGAGAGTGAGGCAGGAATGATGGAAAGTTAAACGAAATGGAAGCACAGGCAGCAGGAAGCAGGAAATACACAGGGCCCCGACAACCAAACAAGACCCAACTCCTCTAGAGTCCGTACAATTACATTGGGGACCGAAAGAGTGGCCAACGTTAGACTTCCTGTGCTGGTCATGCAATATGTGTGTGTGTGTGTATGTATATATATATATATATATACACAGATATATTTATTTTTCAATTATATATTGGTTACTTAAGTTTCAATCCAGACAAAATATATAGCGTTTGTCGTATATATAGATACAGATACATAGACATTAGATGGATGTATAACATGTTGTTTGTTATGCTTGCATACATAACTGTTAACACACTAGCCATGCATGTACTGGAACTTCGATCAAGAGCTGAGTATATATCAGCTGTTACATACTTGCACAGTCAATCTGGTATATACATGTCCAGTCCTCACGCTGCTTTTCCTCTTCGCCCTTATCATCCTTCTTCGCTTTTTTGTCTTTTTGCTTTTTGTCCTTCTTGTCCACTTTCTTATCCTTGCTGGTCTTTCCAACCTTCTTGTGAGGGTCTTCGCTTTTGTCCTTCCCAGCTACCGTTGCTTTCGCAACATGGGCAGAACCTCCATGATCCTGCTCCTTCTTGGACTTCTTTGCTGCGTGCTCGTGCTCCTGGGCCTCGTGCTCTGCTGTCTTTGCTGGTTTCTGCACTTTCCTCTTTTCGGCTTTCTCTTCTGGGTTCTTGCTGCAGTCCTCGGCCTTCTCCTTTGTCTTCTTTGCTGGGTCTGCTGTGGGCTTCTCGGCCTTCTCCGGCGGGCTGCTGCTGCTGCTGCGGACCTTCTCCTTCTCCTTCGTTTTCTTTGCCGGGTCTGAACCTGGTGCCTTCTGTGGCGGGCTGCTGCTACTGCGGACCTTCTCCTTCTCTGTTTTCTTTGCGGCTTCTGAGCCTGGGCTGCTGTTCTCCTTTTCCTTTGTCTTCTTGGCTGGGTCTGCTGTGGGCTTCTCGGCCTTCTCCGGCGGGCTGCTGCTGCTGCGGACCTTCTCCTTCTCCTTCGTTTTCTTTGCCGGGTCTGAACCTGGTGCCTTCTGTGGCGGGCTGCTGCTACTGCGGACCTTCTCCTTCTCTGTTTTCTTTGCGGCTTCTGAGCCTGGGCTGCTGTTCTCCTTTTCCTTTGTCTTCTTGGCTGGGTCTGCTGTGGGCTTCTCGGCCTTCTCCGGCGGGCTGCTGCTGCTGCGGACCTTCTCCTTCTCCTTCGTTTTCTTTGCCGGGTCTGAACCTGGGGCCTTCTCTGGCGGGCTGCTGCTGCTGCGGACCTTCTCCTTCTCCTTTTTCTTTGCGGCGTCTGAGCCTGGGCTGCTGTTCTCCTTTTCCTTTGTCTTCTTGGCTGGGTCTGCTGCCGGCTTGTCTGCCTTCTTCTCTGGCGGGCCGCTGCTGCTGCGGATCTTCTCCTTTGTCTTCTTTGCCGGGTCTGAACCTGGGCTGCTGTTGCGGACCTTCTCTGGTGGGCTGCTGCTGCTGCGGACCTTCTCCTTGTCACTCGTTTTCTTTTCTGAGCCTGGGCTGCTGCTGTTCTCCTTCTCCTTTGTTTTCTTTGTTGGGTCTGCGCTTCGTGGCTTCTCCACCTTCTCCGGCGGGCTGCTGCTGCTGCGTACCTTCTCCTTCTCCTTTGTCTTTTTTGCCGGGTCTGAACCTGGGCTTCTGCTGTGGGTCTTCTCTGGCGGGCTGCTGCTGCTGCGGACCTTCTCCTTCTCCTTAGTTTCCTTAGCCGGGTCTGAGCCTGGGCTGCTGCTGTTGGTGTTCTCCTTTGTTTTCTTCGTTGGCCCTGCACTTCGTGGCTTCTCGGCCTTCTCTGGTGCACTGCTGGTGCTTGTGTGCTTCTTGGGCTTGTTCGGCGGGCTGCGGCTGCGGGCCTTCTCCTTTGTCTTCTTTGCTAGGTCTGCTGCGGGCTTCTCTACCTTATCTGGTGGGCTGCTGTCTTCGGCCTTCTCCCGGGTTTTCGTGGCTGGGGCTGTAGCAGCTTTGGACTTGCCGTTGGTCTTTGGTGGGCTGCTGCTTCGGCTGTCGTCCTTAGTTGCTGTGTTGCGCTTGCTCTCAGCTGCTGGGTGTGAAGTTTTTTGCTTCTTCTCTGGGTTTGTGGTCTTGCTGCTGTGGCCTGCTCCTGCCTGTTCTCCCTTCCCCTTTGATCTCAATCGAACACGCTTCTCCTCGGTACCAGTCTCGATTGGGTGGCTTGACTCATCGTAAAGCTGTTCCAGCAAGGTCTCGATCGACGGCGACCTTTTTCTTTCAGTCTTTAGGGCTTCGAGCCTCTTCCGGTTGTTCTCTTTGAGGGTAGCAGCAAGACCTGCGACAAAACATGGATCGCGTATATATATATATATATATATATATATATATATATATATATATATACATACATATGTATATATTATATACATATATAATCGTACATATACACAATTCCCAGCCTGGCTTCTCGGTCATGTTCCCGGTATCAAAATGACACGGGAGATATATCAAGCCCAGTTTTGAGCCGATCTCGCTCGATGGTGTGTGGTTTTGGCAAGCCTGGAAAATGTGCGTTTGAAGGCAGCAGGTGACACGCAGTGACACGCAGTGACACGTTCCTTGATATATCTAAGTGCCCTCTTTGCTGGTAAGTGCACTCTAATAGAGGGCACTTTTGATCCCGGTGACACGCAGTGACACGCAGTGACACGCACCTCCGCGCCCCGATTGGCTGCAAAACTGCTACGCAAGGCCTAGGCATATATGGACCGTTTCACATCACAAGTGCACTCTATTGAAGGTGTTTTGCATCCCAACAGACCACAGCAGGCGCTAAACCCTAAGTGCCTCGTTTCAGTGCCTAGCGAAGCTGCTTAAGGGCCTGGCGCCATTTGCATCGGGCCGGGGACAACAAAACATCATCAATGGCTCCATCCTCAGAATCCGAGTCATCGGGCCACCACCCATGGTTGCCCATCTCCCTTCCTGTCTCCGGTGGCAGCAACCTTAAATTGATTGCATGCATGGAATGTGTGCTGCATGTATATGGATGCAGATCATGGAACACACATAATAATAAAGGCTAAGGATCGGAACCATAGCAAAACCAAAGTCCACGGGATATACGGCACTTTCGCCGAGCTCCTTCGGTTTCCCCGTCACCTTTACACGCCCTCCTTCTTTGCGACGCACAACCAAGCTTTGCTTCCTGATTTCCCAAAACGACCCAGACAGTTAGATTAATGCAGCAAGCTGTGCAGCTAGGGTTCTTATGCTTGGCCAGTTGCTTCTTGGCAGCCTTGAAGCTCACGGAACGGCGCAGTGTGCCAATGTTTGGCAATGTTGACCACATCCTTGGTATACATAGAGGTGAAAGAGAAGAGTCACGACAGAGAGCGAGAGAGGGAGACCAAGAGGGCGAGAGAAGTGAAAACCCAAAGAGTGATGAGTGGCGAGTTGCGAGAGGCAGGAAAGAATGAAGCAGGGAAGGCAGGAAGGAGGGAGAGAAAATGCAGCTCACATTCCTCTGCTATCACAACTCGCATTAATGTGCGGTACAGTATATACATATGACTATCTAAGTGGTGTACACATATATACATATATGTTCACTGGGACTTACCGGAAAATGGAGGTATACTATGTATATGTAGATATACACTCTATACAAACAAATGTACCGGTGTATGCATAAACATGTACATACATTACATACATTACATACATTACATACATTACATACATACATACATACATACATACAGACATATGCATACATACATACATACATACATACATACATACATACACACACATACACACATACATACAGATACATACAGATACATACATGCACATGCACATGTGAGTGTGTAAAGACGGACAGATACATGGAAACGTATAGATCGATATAAACGGGTGGGTATAGCTAGTTAGGTAGGCAGGTAGCTAGGTAGTCAGACATCAATATGTATGTAAGCAAGCACGTGTGTAGACGGGCTCATTATACTGTGGAGGTCTACTATGTGTATATGTAGATATGTATGTATGTGTATGTGTACAGAGATGGGGGATATAATGCATCAGACATCAATATGTATGTAAGCATGCACGTGTGTACATGTGTATAGTACTGTGGAGGTATATTATTATGAGTATATGTAGATATGTATGTATGTGTATGTGTACATGGACACACAAAATACATTGTAAGACGAGGATACCTGACATATATGCATGTATTGTCACAGTCATGCAGAGCCCCACGTATATAGATACATCATGTAGTGTGTATACGAGTAGGTAAGAAAAGCATGGTGCACTTCAACTCCAGTTTGTTCGATGCACATATGTAGCTGTATACACATACACATCATATATATATATATATACACACTCCTAGTGTACATATATATATATATGTAATTATATGTGTGATAGACAGATAGGGGAGACCTAGAACCCTGGAGTCCGGTTTCACCACAATAGGGACCCCTAGATACACCTTTATGCATTCGTGGCTGTTGGGGAGTCATGTCTAGCTGTTGCTGGCTTCGATAGAGGGCTGGTGAGTCTGGAGCCTGATAATCCTCAATAGTGGTAGCTATAATATACTGTAGGGTAGTTTGGGGGTCTAGGAGGGAGGCCTACGGCTTGTGACGTGTAAGGGTTGGGCTGTACCAGATATGAAATTGGGGAGACATGAACCTCGCAGAGGCTTCCCTAGAAACCAACCGGCAAACAAGGCACTCAGTGGGCTACTGCCGACGCTGCTCGCTGGGGTCCCAGTCTTTAGTTCGATTGCAGCCTAGAAACTTGGTCATTTTCAGGGTCGGGGATCCAAAGGCGGCCATGGGGAAGATCACACTCCTGTTCAGGTTTTGGGATTGCACAAGCACAGCCCCAAACAATGACCCATATATAGGTTCAAGTCCTAGGTTCAGGGTATAGGGCCGAGCAAACACCTTAACATGAATATTTCTGGGTTCATATTTTATTAGAAAGTGTCCTTGCTCCGGTTCGTCGAAGAAGCCGCCTCATCGGCTTGTAGTCGAACATCAACTGGGCGACAGTCGTAGTGGGGGCATTGCATGGGTTTAGGGAATTTAGGGATCATAAGGTGGCAGCAGAGCTCAGTGGCTGTTCGATGCAGAAGTAGACTCCTCTTCTCCAGGCATAGTAAAGACTTAGCTGCAGAGATCATGATATGCTTGATGTTTTCGGTTTTCGTCCTGAACCCCCCTACTGCTGCGAAGAAGCATATATACCAGCCTTTGCACCAGGATGTTATTGCCATACACCTTTCTGGTTCTGTCACCGAAGCCATCAGGATCTTCGATTGATCTTTTGCACGTCGCCCTGGACCTTAAAGCTGTCTTGCGCACTATGCAACACATCCCCTGGTACACACAACCGTCACAACCAACGAGAACAACTCCTGCCAAAGGACATCCAAACCCACGAGCTGCATGGTGGTCCCGCCATCACCAGGCCTCCTGGCCTTGTGTGATGCACCTGAGTCGATGGTCTTTCGTGAGGGTTTTGCATTGGTCGGACTACCGACATGATATGTTTAGACAAGTCACAGCCGCGAGCAAAGTCAAGAACCCTACCGTCCTGAATATGTTGTAGTTCTGGGATTCCAAGACCTCAGGCAGTAGGTCAAAGCAAGAACTCCTCAGTTGTTCCACACACGGCTTAGGACTTATGAGCCAGGGGGCATCCATGGAAACACCGTGGTATCCGGATATTCGCATTGCATACGAAAACAGAGCGGCACCAGCAAAAGCCTCAACCTGAGCAGCAACTGTTGCACACGAGAAATGTACAACACACAGAGTGCATGGGCTCAACCAGGCCAGGACACGAAATCATTGAGTTGATCTGGTTTCGGGAGGGTGTCCAGCCATTGAATGAGCTTGGCCAGTCGACTTGGCCGCATGATCGGTGTGCATGTACATGCAGCCGGCCAAACAAACCCTTGAGTCTCCGAGATGCATATGTCAGGTAGGTTCCGGCGACATGCGTGCAATTGCATTCACAGCAGGGACATGATGAAGCATAGGGCTGCATGCCTATATGTTTCGCGACTCAAGATCCATCGCACCCCGAGATACTGCAGAACTCTTGAGCAGTGGCTGTTCACTGCACAAGAAAACCCACGAGAAGCTTTGCCCAGTGCCTGCACCTTGCTGCTGCATCCCCGGGGACCCTGAATCTAGGAAGCTATATAGGAACCTTATACCTTACAATATGTTTTATGAGCACAGCGAAAGCACTCTAGAGGGGTACGAGTAAAACTGCATGTAGCCCTAACAGCAGCAGCAGTGTACAGATCTGGATGAAGTCTCGATGCTACTTCTTGTTCTTTTTGCCAGCATCCTTTGGCGCTGGCTTTTTGGGGGCTGCCTTTGATTTCGGCTTCTTTCTACGATCGGGGGTGGTCTCATCCAGCCAACCCTTGAAACCATGAATCTGGGCCTGTTTCAGGCTGAAATAGGTAAGTCCATTCTTCGACTTGTAGGCCCTATATTCGTGGCCTTTCAGCTTCCCAGACATCCTGATCCGGGTTTCCACCTTCCAGCCATCCTGCGCATTCTGAATAGTGTCTACGGTGTAGCTCCTTGGATAGTAGATACATCACATGTGATCAAAGTATGATGGAACTGTGTTAATGCTGTAATGTTCGGCTAACAAATACACATGCACAGCTAGACCTCGGATAAGTCTCGGAGCTCCCCCACGGTTTCCCTTCTTCTGCCGCTTTGCAGTAAGCAACTCCAACTGATGTGCCGGGTCTGGTACGGCCCTGTTGGCATGCTCGAGCGCTTGCTGCTGACATCGTGCTATCGTGATATCGAATGTAGATCGTGCAAAGTCCTTCGCATCGACCCTGTGCACCTAGGCTGCTCTGATATCATGTCAGCCTATGAGACATGAGACACAACAACGCATGCAGGTGTGCCGACAAGCTGCCGGCGACTTCTTCTGGTCCTCCAGGGGCTCATCAGGCTTGGCTTTTGCATCCTTTGAACCTGACACAGATCGAGGGACATGGGCCAAAACATAATGCTAGGGCCCTTATACTTAATAGTTGGGTGTGTAAAACCTTAAGCGTCTATCGCACAGTGGGTTGCGGCTGCGGCATTTGGGATTTGTGGCGGCTTTGGGGCTCAGTTTGGGTTTTGTATAATATATTAGGTGCTACAATCTAATAACTTCTAGTATATATATAGACCCCCCAACTACCCCCTAATATACCCCAAGTACCCACTATTAAGGGCCATAAGGGCTCCATTAAAGGGCCATTGGGCGGTCCTCGAGGATAGGGGCAATATAAATACCTGGCCTTTCTCTTCATCGCTCACTTCTTTGCGGCTTCTCTTGTTGCCGCTGGCGTCTTTCTGCCAGCTGCTGGAACTGCGGGCTCCCTTCTTTGGGACCGGGGATCTTAGGGCTCGGGCTGCCTTTGACAGCTTCCAATCTGGTGTTCCTTTGTGTGTCGCCTTCGTGGCATTGGCCTTAGGTGAAGCCACCTGCTCCTCCTTCTCCTCCTCTGAGCTTTCTGCAGCAGCAGCACTGGCATCATCAGCACTTTCAGCGTCCATTTCCATGATCTTCACACCTTTGGGCGGTGGTCCCCGCACGGCAATCATCATGTCACGTGTGTCCCGGGTTTTCCACGATTTCTTATCCAGGCGATTCTTCATACAGGCTTCGTGAACCTCACTGAAGTTGTCCCAGGACAGCCGAACACCTAGCTCAGGATCATAAAGCTCGGTGTTGCCCGATTCACTCGCTGCATCTGAGTTGCACGGATCCTCCGGTGCCTCCTCCTCCTTTTCTGCATCTTCCTCAGAGTCCGACGATGTGTCGGACCCATCAATCCCTGGCGCCGGCACATGGGGCGGCGAGCTCTGGCACACTTCCTCCTCTGGCTGCTGTTCACCACCAGGTGGGCTTGCTTCCTCCTCTGGTTCATCCTGCGAGACGCTGCTAGGTGGCGTGGGCACATGAGGTGGCGAACTGGGGCATTCTTCCTCCTCTGGCTGCTCTTCACTCGAGCTCCCCCCTGCCTCCACAGCCTCCACAGGCTCCTGCATCTCACCGTCGACCTCCGGCCAATAAAGCTCATCATTCATCTCCGGGGCCTGGTCTCTCTCTTCGGCTGTGTCCTCCTCCTCCTCCTCCTCTGAACTTTGCTTCCTTATTTCCTCTGCTGCTTCATCCTCGCTCCCCGAAACTTGGGTCCTCACTTCGGGTGCGTCCTCCTCCTCCTCCTCCTCTGAACTTTGCTTCCTTTCCTCTGCTGCTTCATCCTCGCTCCCGGAAACTTGGGTCCTCACTTCGGCTGCCTCCTCCTCCTCTGCAGAACTTTGCTTCGTTTCCTCTGCTGCTTCATCCTCCCTCTCGGAAACTTGGGTCCTCACTTCGGCTGCATCCTCCTCCTCTGAACTTTGCTCTGTTTCCTCTGCTGCTTCATCCTCCCTCCCGGAAACTGAGTTCATCTCTTCGGCTGCATGCTCCTCCTCTGAACTTTGCTCTGTTTCCTCCGCTGCTTCATCCTCACCCTCCGAATCCTGTCCAGCCGATGCCTCGTCCTCTTCCTCTGAACTTTGCTTCGTTTCCTCTGCTGCTTCGCTCTCGTCCTCCTCCTTTGCACTTTGGATTGTTTCCTCCGCTGCTTCATCGTCGCTCCCCGAACCTTGGTTCCTCTCCTCTCCGGCTGATGCCTCGTCCTCCTCCTCTGAACTTTGCTTTGTTTCCTGCACTGCTGCATCTGCATCCTCATCTTCCTCCGTTTCCTCGGCTGCTTCGCATTCAGAAGCTTGCTGCCTCTCTTCGGCGTCCTCCTCCTGTTCCTCTGAACTTCGCTCTGGTTCTTCTACCTGCATCTCCTCTCCTGCTGTGGTGCTTGTATCTGATACATGACCGAGCTTCCGAATCTTAGCTGGTTTTTCCAGAAGATCAGCTGCAGGGCGCTTTGGTAGGCTTTCATAGGCTTCCTGCAGGTACGACACAACAAATCAGACACTTAAGCAACCCCGGAAATCCCGTCCTCTGCCTCATCCTCAGTCATCTCTTCCTCCTCTTCACCCTCCATAGCCCCAGCATCTGACAGGTCTGGCACGGTGTAGCCACGTGGCATGGCTCCTGAGGCCGTCCTGGGATGAAGTCAGGATGCAAACCCATAGATAAAGCTAGTACTATTAAATCGATCATTTAAGGGTGATTATACGCATCTTGTGAACCCTCGGTTCGAATCTCATGCTATGATTTTGACTACACATGTTTTGAATATGTAGAGAAATGAGACAAAGTAGACTCGATCATCATCCAAAACAATGATATCTCCCTGCAAGACCCGGAAGCAACCTCTATTATCCCCCAAATACCCCAGGCCATACCATGAAGTATAGGTCCTCAATTGCGCTCTGGGTGGGGCTACATCCGGGAGTACATGGTTTAGTCTCGCTTTGGGCTTCTATGTGCACATCCGACTATATGTCTAGTGCTTCGAGGCAGGGGCTTATGTGTATAGGGGGTTGGGCTGTGATTGGTACATACCACATTACACACCCCGATTCCATAGGCTGTCATTGGTACATACCACATTACGCACCCCGATTCCATAAGCCATGCTTAGCACCACAACCACGGTACAGTGCATGCGGTATAATTAACACGCGGCTCTCCTCATCCAGGATATGCGGCCGTGACAACGCCCATGCGCCATGTATTGGTGTTCACATGTATGTTTTGCATCATGCGGGCAGAGCACAAGCACCGGAATCACAAACAGTCAATCCAGCCATGCACGTGTGTGATCATGTTGGTGCAGTACCACCTCAACACCAACGATTGCATAGCAGCCTTAATGAGCGCCTAGCTCACATGCGCCATGGACCATGGATGATAAGCTCACCACGAAAAATGCAAGCCCGACAAGCGCATCGATCCGTGATGACATGGTCATCCTTCCACCAGATCGCAGCAACGCAAAGCATGATGCCCACGGATGACTTCCACGCGCTTCCGCTTCTGATATAGCGTCACATCATTGTCCCAACGACGTACCCTCGATCGTATGTCGTCGTTCGTTATGAAACCAGGCCAGCAGCAACCGGACAATGACACATGCACTAGCAACCATTGGAAACATAATGGTGATCTGCAGCGGCCTCCGTCAGGGAGTAATCGCATTGTCGTCAAAATGCCTATCTAATAGGGAGCTGTACGTATACCCTCGAGTTGGTCTCAATTAAGGTGATATATGCAGCACAACACTGCGAACTGCTTTGCTCTTAGGTGTCACGTGCACATACTCGAACTGTACATGTGTGCTTGTCCTATGCCACACTACACACCGGGCCTGTAGCTATCCTGACCAAGGTGAGCTCTTCAGGTTAATAGGGCAGACCCCAAGCATTATTCAGGTCCCCGTGCCGAGGTTACGAGTTCCGGTTGCACCAAGCACTAAACCCAGTGATAATGAAGTTGCCTATATTGGTAGCACACGGAGGCGAGAAGCGGTCCTATAGGTAATCCGATTAAGAATTCCTGAAGCGAGAGATCCGAAGTCACGAACTCAAAACTGCTTCCATGTGTCATATCCAGCCCACCATGGTCAATGAGCTGGGTCTCCATCTCGCTAGGATCCACCGTGCTGCCTTCACCGGTCCTCCAGATGATCACGAGGCAGATGTAGGGTAATTTAGGGGGTATGTATACATGGAGCTGCACCTTGTTGCCAACTTCTTTCTTCGTGTGATTGCCTTTGCAGACTTCGTTTGGATGCTGTGGAGTTTACCAGCCTCGGCTAGTACATGTGAGCACACATGGGCTTTCATGACAGCCATAACATTCTGAGCGGCTTCAGACTTCACCCAGCTGTCCATGTCAGAATAGGTCGGGCCTAGGCTATAGGCTCAGGCTTTTATAATTCCAACAAGCTAGGGATGATTGGAACATGCGTGGGAATAATAAGACCCCGACGGAGTTGCTTCAAGTACATGAGGCATGCAACAAGCAGCCGCATCTTCCCTTCTCTTAAGCAGCGCCCCTTGCCAGCAGCTTCCACTGCATCATAAGCCCACCTATTCCTCTTGACCCTCAGATCTCCCCCGGGCAGCAACTCGTCGTGCTTCTTGACGCAGCTCGCTTCCGGAACGTGCTGCAGCATACATTTGAGGAGTCGCCTCAATTCCAATGTAGCTTATATGGCGATTGTACATGCTAGCTGATTCAAAGTACAGGTAATCCAGCCAGGACACTTGCCATAAGAACCCAGCTTCTTTCTAGCAGCTCCACACTCTTTATCATTCAGGAAGGCATAGGTCGGAGGTGCCATGGCGAGAACACACCCGACTGTACTGTGTGCTATCATGCCATTACATCTTATGAATGTATATGTATGCCGTGCCGAACTGCTATGCATGCTTTCCGAGCAGCCTTGACCGCAGGTCAACGACGAGCATCACCATGAAGATCGCCAGCTATGTCTATTTGTGGATTTTATCTACGTTTACCTATAATAATTTAGCTAGACCCCCACCTAGGATTTGCCCGATCCAAAAGAGGGCACTTGATATCTAAGTCCCCTTTAAATGTAGGCACTTAATGAATTTGTCGCCTATTTGAGGGCACTTGGACCTTAGCATTTACCACCCGAGCCATATGATTTTCTGAAAGCGCAAACAGGACACTTAAACGCTCAAAACACCACAAAGATACATCAAGCAGTAGTGACAACTAATTGAAGGTCTTCGGGGGGTCCTGGACTATTATTACTATTACTACTATTACAATATTAATACTACTGAGACTGAACCACAGCCGAGCCTCCAAAAACCGACCCCGCGTGTACACACAATGCGCTTTTCCGTAAATGGGTCGCTAGACTCTCAGCATCACCAGTCTGTCGACTGTACTTGCACAGGATCGCAAGCTCTACGGCCCAGCCGTACTGGCGAACGGAACTTTCTCGCCAGCATTTTCTACGAGGCAGATCGCGAGCGCAGGTGTAACGCATCTCCTGCAGAAGCTCCGATCAACGCCTGAAATCGACACGTTCGGTGTGTCCGACTTCGGGAGCGCCATCATTCCGGCCCCGATCACCGAGCAAGTGGAGGCTGACTGGAAAACAGCCAATCCAGTGACTGCCACGGCGGGACATCGTCAACAAGCTCTTCGAACATGTTTGCTTGAGGGTCTTTCAGGGAGTTCAGGGAATAAGCCCCTAAGCCCCTAACCCCGCCCAATTTTCAATTTTTACCAAAACGATTGATCCCATGTGGGACTCTAAACAGCTCCGCTCCCCCCCCCCCCCCCCCCCCCCCCCCCCCCCCCCCCCCCCCCCCCCCCCCCCCGGTCAGCAAGCCCAGAATCGTTTCGAGTCTGAAATGACTGTCAAAAATGAAGATTTTGGATGCTTTTGTGTGGTTTTCTCTATTTCGGGCCTTGGAAGTCGGGAATTTTTTAAAAATCCTAAGGGGCCTTGAACGTGGTTTCCGGAAAAGGAGCTTGGATTGCAAACTCGACGCTTTTGATGCTTTTGTGAAAGGTTTCCTCCCTTCCGGTGGCGTTGGAAACCGGAAATACACTGAAAATCACCGGGGAGCTTGGAAATGGTCTCCGGAAAAGGAATGGGTACTGCAAAATCCATGATTTTGGTGCTTTTGTGGGGTTTCCCTATTTCCGCGGCCTTGCAAGCCGGAAATCCGTGAAAATCTGAGGGGCTTTGGAACTGGCCTCCGGAAAAGGAGTGAGTACTGCAAAACCCACGATTTTGGTGCTTTTGTGGTGTTTCTGCCATTTCGGGCCTTGGAAGCCAGACATTCCCTCAAAATCGCAGGGGACCTTGGAAATGGCTTCCGGAAAAGGGAGGCGTACTGCAAAATCGATGAATCTGGTGCTTTTGTGGGCTTTTCTCCTATTTCGGGCCTTGGAAGCCGGAAATCTCTTCATTATCCCAAGAGGTCTTGGAAATGGTTTCTTTGGAAGCCGGAAATTCCCTCAAAATCCCAAGGGATCTTGGAAATGGGCTCCGGAAAAGGAACGGGTACTGCAAAATCGACGATTTTGGTGCTTTTGTGGGGTTTTCACCATTTCCGGCCTTGGAAGCCGGAAATTCACTAAAAATCCCACGGGGCCTTTGAAATGGCCTCCGGAAAAGGAAGCGGTGCTGCAAAATCGACGATTTCGGTGCTTTTGTGGTGTTTTCCCCATTTCGGGCTTTGGCAGCCGAAATTCTCTAAAAATCCCAAGGGACTTTGGAAAAGGTCTCCGGAAGGAAAGGGGTGCTGCAAAATCAACGATTTTGGAGCTTTTGTGGTGTTTTCCTCTTATTTCGGGTCTTGGAATTCAGAAATTCCCTCAAAATCCCAAGGGACCTTGGAAATGGGCTCCGGAAAAGGAAGGGATACTGCAAAATCGACGATTTTGGTGCTTTTGTGAGGTTTTCCACATTTCGGGCCTTGGAAGTCGGAAATTTTTTAAAAATCCCACGGATCCTTGGAAATGGTTTCCGGAAAAGGAAGCGGTACTGCAAAATCAGCGATTTTGGTGCTTTTGTGGTGTTTCTCCATTTCGGGCTTTGGCAAACGGAAATTCTCTAAAAATCCAAGGGGCCTTTGAAAAGGTGTCCGGAAAAGGAAGGGGTGCTGCAAAATCGACGATTTTGGAGTTCTTGTGGTGTTTTCCTCCTATTCCGGAAATTCCCTCAAAATCCCAAGGGCCTTGGAAATGGGCTCCGGAAAGGAAGGGATACTGCAAAATCGACGATTTTGGTGCTTTTGTGACGTTTTCTCCCATTTCGGCAGCCTTGGAAGCCGTAAATCCTTGAAAATCCGAGGGGCCTTGGAAATGGCCTCCGGAAAAGGAGCGGGTACTGCAAAATCGACGATGTTGGTGCTTTTTTGTGGTGTTTCCCCCTTTTCGGCGGCCTTGGAAGCCGGAAATCCCTGAAAATCCGAAGGGCCTTGGAAATGGCCACCGGAAAAGGAGCACATATTGCAAAATCGACGATTTTGGTGCTTTTGTGGTGTTTCCCCCATTTCGGCAGCCTTGGAAGCAGGAAATCCTTGAAAATCCGAGGGGCCTTGGAAATAGCTTCCGGAAAAGGAGGACGTACTGCAAAATCGACGATTTTGGTG